TTGAAAGAATTGGAGGAACTTGACAGATTTATCAACAGGTGTTTTTAGGTAATCAACAATGTAAAAGGACTGTTATGCCAAATTAAACTTCTGTTAATCAATGCCACAAAGGAAGACACCATACAGTCATGTGTTAAGGTCTATATGATGTTGATAATAAATGATAATTTGACAATCTGACACAACAGTGGCTAATGTAAAAATTGCTGCTGAATGTTAATAAAGAAGGTTTTGCTGAAGAAGCCTTACCTGTGTTACAGGTAAAAATTGATGATATAAGGGGGGGGGGGGGGGGGGGGGGGGGGGGGGGGGGGGGGGGGGGGGGGGGGGGGGGGGGGGGAAAGCATAAATCAAAAAAATGTAAATACATAATTGGACCAGTATCCCAGCCCCGAACGTTTCATAAAACACGTAAATGTCTGATGGTATGAAAGTACAAAATGATGGGAGATCCCACAACTTAAAATTATCTGGTTTTCTCTCGGATAAAAGGTCTCAACTTATGACACTGTTTTATGTAACTGTCCAGGTGTGGCAATGAGAAAAACTTGTTAATCGCAGTAATTATAGATAGACTTCCAGAGTAAAATAACTACAGAATGGGCTTATTAAAGCTACAGAAAGCCTTTCACATAATGTAAATTTAGCACCTCAGGTGAAGTGAATGATTCAGTAGTGCCGAATAAATATTTGATGGGGTAGTGGAGGCTATTATGCCCTTCCCCTTGTACAGGGTATGGTAAAAAAGTGTGTGGTTCACCTTATTGAAGACTGCTTGAGACCAATGTAGCGAGCTGTATGTACTGTGGAATTCCTCGTAATAATAATTCATGACTAGAGGAAAACTACAAATACCATACTGTGTTTCTACTCCATGAAGTACGTGCCCCATTAAAATCTTCCCCACAAGGATGGTTGTTGAGCCAGTGCATAAAATAGAGGGAATTAGACAGCATTGGAATACATGTATAGAAGAAAGTCCCGATGATTCTTTTTACTCAGGAACAATACCTGAGAGATGTAAAAATTTGAATCTGGACAATACTGGGTTGACTTCCGTGAACTGAACTATCCAAATTGCCCACTAATTACAGAAAAGCATATGGACAATTAAAAGGCTCAAGCCTCCGCGAATGAGTAAGAGACACCAGAATTGTTAACTGCCTATAATGATAATAATTGCCTGAGTCAGTTAATTAATAAATTTATAGAAGAGGTACCCTCCTGAGCATGCCCACATTATTGGTCCAACTAATGCAAAATCATGGAGAGAAGAAGGAGCTAAGATCACTCCTTTGAGGATTGTGTGTTTACTTGCAGTGCCAGGAGAAACAAAAATGTACCTAGTTTAAAATGGCTGTTTGATGACAGGTCCGTCGTTGACGAAAAATTAGAGATATCTTATTAATTCAGGATGAACAAAATTATGCCTTTTACGGCTGACATAAGTAAAGCCTTTCGCTAAAGTGGTTTACAAGAGGCTGACACGGATTGTACCCTCTTCTTAATGGCCTGAGAATCCTAGTGACCCACTTAACCCTCTGACAAAACCTTTCGCTTTAGGAGCGTATTAATTTGGTGCTACATCCAGTCCGTTCCTACTCAAGCGACGATAAATGCACAACCTTAAACGTATGAAGTCCATTGAGTAAAGTAATAAGCAAACAATTTTATGTGACAATTCCGCCCCTGGGTGTGACTCAACTGAAGAGGAACTGTTAATGACTTATGGAGAAGGGAAATAAAATAATGCAAAGTGCAAATATGCCTCTGAGGGAATGGACAAGTATTCGACCAAATTAAAGGACAAAATAAGTCAAAGATTACCCTGGAGATGGAGTGCCAAAATGTAGTAATGTTATTTGGGTTTAACTTGGGATACTGAGAGAGGATTTGTTAATTTTAAAACCTAAAATTACAGAATGCCCAACAAATTAACTAAGAGTGTTTTGGCTTGCTGAATGATTCCAAATGTTTTGATCCACTAGTTTAGTGTCACTCTTACTAAAAGAGGGAAATTATTAATACAGGAAGCATGTAAACTTAAATTGTGCTTGGGAAGAATTCTACCGATGAGGATTCATTAACAGGGTGGGATGAATTAATTGGTGTTATGAAAAAGAATTCCAAGTTGGAGTTCTCCCACACCAGGTGGCCAATCCAAATGGGAAAAAATGTACTCGCCGCATTTTTTGTGATGCTTCAAATTTGGCATAAGGAACAGTTGCTTACCTCAATGTAATAGTGTTATTTCTCTTGTTATGTCCAAATAAGGCTAAAGTGTCTCCAATTAAAAATCAAAGTTACCTTGCCTCAGTTGGAATTAACAGCCATTTATATGTAGTGTGTCAAATAAGCTAATTATATAAGAAATAAGTTGTAGGAAGATAAATCATAGCGACACTGTAATTTGTCTGTATAATGAAGGAATCCTTACAAAGAATCGTATGGAAACAGTAAAAATTGTGTATGCACAAAACAGAGTCGTTGAAAATTAATCATCTGAAGCAAGAGAAGTAAAAATAGTATAGGGTCAACCATAATGTTAACATATGTTAACCTGGTGAGAGAATCCATCTGATATCATATCTCGGGTTTACCTTATGCTAAATTTGAAAATGCTGTATATCACATGGATGATACATAAAAGGACCGAGCTGGTTGGTAAATAAAGCTAATTGCCTTACAAAAGGCGTATATTGCTCCTGTTGAAATGTGACCAGTGACGACCAACGCTCACAATAGTCTGTCCTCCCTAGCCATTGATATAAATAGGTATTCTTTCTTCACCCAAACTATCAATGTAAACTAATTTGTGTTTAATTTTCTAACACGATGAAATTTTCATTTAGTTTTCATACCACTTGAATATTGTGGGATAAAGAGGGTACAGGAGAATCTATGAAATGAATTAAATTGATGATGAAAGAAAAAATTTGTGAAAAGTATTCCATAATAGAGTAAAATTGGGCTGTATTTAGAGAACAGTATGAGATTAGGTGCAGAGGTAGGTTAACAAAATGCTGAATTGGGTGATTAGGCTATACACCCAATCTTACTGCCCAAAACTCATCATCTAACAAATTTAAAATTGTGCTAAATGCCCATAAAAATGTGAATTAATGGTGGGTTACAATACCTTAAATATGTATTAGGGAAACTTTCTGGATTCCACAAGGACGGCAAAGTGTAAAAAGGGTGATTAAATCTTGTGTAATATGCCGCCATGTGGATGCCAGATCCTATTTGTACCCAGGTCCTCCAACATTCCAAATGAGCAATTTGAGTCCGTTTTAGCAACGATCTCTGTCCCGGCCGCAGTGTGGAAAATACTGTATATATTTTCCAGAAATACAGTAGTTAAATGTAAATAGATGGCCATACTGTATTTAATAAAATTTGTGTTATCGAAAACAGAAAGCTGCGCCTGCGCAGAAGGACAGTCGCCATTTTGTTTGAATTTGGACTAGAAGCATTAGTGAATAATGGGAAGAATTTTTCTTGCTCTAGAGGTTAAAATTGGGCTGACACCTCTCAAATAGGAGGCGAAATTGTTGGATGCGCATTCCTGCATAATTTGAGTGTCAGGCGACAGGACAGGACAACTCCAGGAACCTCAGATAAGCTGTCTAATTTATGTTTAAATTCTGGCCAGTAAATTTTTCATAAATGTAGGCAAAAGGGGGGATCCTGTACATGACACATTAATCTCCAGTCAAATTGGCGAGTGTTATGATTTTAAGATATTCTCCTTCTGTTATGTATATGTGTTTATATATAATCATTTTTTAATTTTAATATACAGTCCACAAATTTATATATTTACCAGCATTCCTGGTGTATGTATATTTTATTTAAAATTAATAGGTCCAGAGCAACTTGTGGATATAACAGTGGTAGGTATCGAAGGGGGACATTTTTTGCGACCTAGGTGTCCCAAATTCCTACTTGTCTATGTAACATTGATAAACAATAATTATCTTTGTTATTTACTGTTATGTACATAATGAGTTACATACAGATAAATGTAATTTTCCACACTATATTTATAAACTGGAAGTCAGTTTAAAAATTTGCGGTTTTTACTTATGTTATAAATAATGTGTTCCTGGATTTTAAAAGTGGCTGACTGATCAGAAAATATATTAAGTAACGATGACTTCACAGTTTATATTGTTTTTAAATATACTTATTTCATAATTAATTACATAATAGACATCGTGAAACTAATATCAGTTCTACTACCTAAATTATTATAAGTTTTGTACTGATTGTTATTAGTATCAGTATCATTATAGTATTATCACCTGACAATGTTTAGGATGATTATAAGGATATCTTCATAAATCCGCAGCTTTAAGGTCCAGCGAAGATATAAATCCTAGTAAGCAAGACATCGTAGGGGAAAAGATGTTCAAAACCTCGTTTCTTCTTCAAGTCCTACACATGTTTGCACGGAGAAACAATTTTTGCTGCACATTTATCAGCAGTTAATTCCTACCAGTGGTTGAGATCAATGCCCTCAGCTGCCAGTAGGCTACAATATACACTAAATACTCTATGGTTACCATTTCTCACTTTCATTACTCGACAGGCAAACCTTATCCTAGGACAGGATTTATAGTAATCTGGGGCTAACATTATCATAGGACGGGGCTTGTAATTATCTCTAAGTTACTATTCTTAATGTACACACTACCTTCAAGACTATGCATCATTCATCCCAGCTGAACTCTCAACAACATTTATCGTGAAGTTACATGGACTAAATGGTATCTATCAGTTGTAGGATAATATTTGAGTGAAATGAGGGATCCACCCATCTGCTGATATTGGTGAATGTTGAATCATAAATTTTAAAAGTCTGTTTCCTCCTAGAATTTACATTAAATAACACAATATTCCTAGAGCCCTTAACAATATCACTCGTATGTTTTACCGGTGCTGTGATGACACCTGGTAAAAAGACATTTATGTAGGTACTGTTTTCTTCAACTAACCTTCTTATCCTTTGAATCTGCTAGAGAGGCAGTAATGTAGTCCTTCTCGACCTGAGTCATGTGAGTGTCCTTGTCCGGTGTATCAGCAACAACAAGGAACCAGGCAAGACACCATACCAATGTCATGCACGCCTCGATGTAGAACACTGCTTCCCATCCCAACCCGTCAATTATGGCCGCAGACAGAGGGAAGGCCACGATGGTACCCGCCTGGGACCCTGGAGGTTACTAAAGTTTACTAAAGTTTACTAAAGTTTACTAAAGAAAACAGGAAAGAGATGGTAGATAGGATGATGCTGTGTAAAAATAACAAGTGAATAAGAGTAACATGTTAATATGGACAAAGATAAAACAAAAGATAGTTCAAGGCAATGTAACAAAAAAAAGCGTCAGTTGTTAATCTCACCAGCGTAGATGATGGTAGAGAGAACAGAGCGCTCCAAGGGTGGAGCCCAGGTGGCCAGGAGGGCGTGTGTTGACGGGAATGTTGCCCCCTGTGAAATCAATCAACCAATCAATGTATTCCCACATGATGCATCGTTTGTACAAACTTGGATGACATTGCGTCTCGCACATGGAAAACCCCTTAGATATGCAGAACATTTCGGACAGCCATGGTTTGAGAACTCTCACAAGAAATATCCCCAATTTACCAAAAAGTAATTTTGCTTCTCTAAATCTTAAAAATAGAGCCTCAGCATTAATTAAAGAAAAATTCTTACTTATTTCCGAAGGTCAAAGAGGTTGTCAACTTTGTACAGAAAGTTCAGAGGTGCACATCCTTCAAGGAAAACTCCTTGTTGACGGTGAAGGACTCATGATCTGCAGTACACCAATTTTGACTCATCTTCAGTACATAAGTCCAAGCTGCCATGAGCACCGCTGTCACATGACACTGTGTGACCCATGTACATTTGACATATTTAAAAATAATAATAATGTGGAAAATCCAGTGAGTTCCTCAAGTCTTAACGGTTTAAGAGGAGACAGGAGGAGTTAAGGAGGGGATGGGAATCAGGAAGGAAAGAGCGCTGTAGCGCATGCACATTGCCACGTTTCGTCCCTACATCCTTAATTGCAAGGCTAATTTAGTTGTAAGACGTTGATGAACTAATATCCCATCTAGAGTATAATTGCATAGTTAGACTGAACTATAGATGTAAGTTGAATAGCTTAGCATGTCCAATGTTATAACTATAAGCCTATAACTATGGCACGTTTGAGAGCCAAAAGGCTGGCCTAGTGGCCGGGGGACGTCAATCAATGATCGAGACACTTATGCAACATATGGGAATCTTTACAGAAGAAACGTTTCGCCACCTTTCAAGGCAGGTGAAATTGCTGAGCTAGAAAATGTACAGAGAACCTTTACGGCGCGTATAAAGGAGATAAAGCACCTCAATTACTGGGAATGCTTGAAGTTCCTGAACCTGTACTCCCTGGAACGCAGGCGGGAGAGATACATGATTATATACACCTGGAAAATCCTGGAGGAACTAGTACCGAACTTTCACACGAAAATCACTCACAACGAAAGCAAAAGAATAAGCAGACGATGCAACATCCCCCCAATGAAAAGCAGGGGTGTCACTAGCACGTTATGAGACAATACAATAAGTGTCAGGGGCCCGAGACTGTTCAACTGCCTCCTAGCATACATAAGGGGGATTACCAATAGACCCCTGGCTGTCTTGAAGCAGGCACTGGACAAGCACCTAAAGTCGGTACCTGACCAGCCGGGCTGTGGCTCGTACGTTGGATTGCGTGCAGCCAGCGGTAACAGCCTGGTTGATCAGGCTCTGATCCACCAGGAGGCCTGGTCACAGACCGGGTCGCGGGGGCGTTGACCCCCGGAACTCTCTCCAGGTAAACTCCAGGTACAGTATTTTCACAACAGCTATTATTATTATTATTATTATTATTATTATTATTATTATTAATATTATTATTATTATTATTATTATTGTTATCAAAAAGAAGCGCTAAACCACAGAGTTATATTTAATTCTCCACGCTTCATATACACTGGCAATGTCCGCCTCGTCATTCCGACTACTAAAGTGCGAAGGAAACTAACATATTGCATCAATTATGATTTCAATTTTGTACCTGCACAAACCCATCCTTTACCAACCCTGGCCCCCCAAAAAAAAAACGACTATTCATTCATTCATTAGGGATTTGCCGGTACTTCCGGCCCGGGTCTTCTCCAGATGGCGACCCGGCGGTGGCCCCCGGGTTGGGGTTGTCGTTCATCTTCTTCTTTCTTCTGTCTTCTTTCTTGGGTCCTCCGGGTGGAGGGTAACATCTTCTCTCTTGCGGTGACTCCCCGAGGGGCAGTGTCGTCTCGCTTCGCATCTTCATCAAAATTTTACATTTGAACTTCGTCTTTCCTGAGGATCTACAAGTTCTTGAAATTCTGGAACACCGTCTCCAGGTACACAATGAACACATTCCTGATCCAACAATGCTGCTGGCGACCTTTTCTGGAAAATACCTGTCCATTTCCTTTTGAATGTTCTTCAGATGACCATCAAAAGCAACCTGGATATCACTGACGAATTTCCTATTAGAGTTCGCTAAAAGCAGCCGGTTTTTCTTTGCTCATATTATTTTCCAATCTGAAGTACAAGATTTTTCTTTAAATAAGCAACTGTTCCATCGATGTTCATATATACGTTTAAATGCAGGTCATTCTTGTACCAAATGTCACTTATGCAAGTCAGCTTTGCCAGCTTTGTCAATGCATGCTTCTCCTATATCAAAATTTCAGTTTGTTTTTTAGTTCAATAACTTACTGAGAATCTCACCTTGAGTGCCAACGGACGTTAGGAAATCAGTGTTATGTTATTATATATCTTCACACATTTAATGAGACAGTTTAATGCTCAGGCCTCGACGAGAGTCACAATTTAGATTTCATCACTGATAATCACGAGGTGTTCCGGTTGCAAACATCGAGAGACCAGGACTTCTAGATAGACGGAGTTCTAGATAGACGGAGTTCACATCCAAATAATTAATCCAGTCAAGGTCATGAGTCTTTAAAAACAATCGCTGACCTTACTAAAGTTGCTTTCTCCGAAGGGGGGGATGGGGAGGGGGGTTGTTAACAAAGCATTACTGAAGAAAAAGATCTCCAGGATGTTGTCTTCTCATCTTTAACTCGCCAAAAAAAAAAAAAAAACATAAGTCAAGGGTCATTTCCAAGGTACAGAGATTCAGCCAACTGCATTAAAAGGTATTCTACCTCTACAGCAGGACATGAAATCTATTCGGTATCTGATGTTATTAATGAAAAGTGGTAATGATTCCATCTTCCATCTTCTTGGCAGAATCTGCTCCATAAAGCTTCACCATTGCCACCATTGTCACCATTGCCAGATGCAAAACTAAAAGAGATTTCAAATGAGGAAAAAAAAAATAAACTCGAGGGAACATCGATTCGATATAGTTTTACTTGTTCATCATTTTCCTCTTATTAACTCGGTGCTTTTTTGAGGAATTTTACATGATTCTGATGCAGATTAAGGTATATAGAATCAAAGTGTCTCACCAAGGTTAATAATATATTTTAGTTAATATTATAAATTGTGTGTATGTCTTAACACTGTAGAATGTCTGTGACCATAATTTAGTGTACAGGCAAACACTTCGTAAAGAGTAACAATGCATCAAGAGAGAGACATCCCTACGATCCCCGTTGGGGAGGGGAACACTGCTTACTCACGATGTATTACTCTAATAGAGTAAAGATCAAACCAGTGAGTGGAACAATCAACGACTCAACTAAGCTAGCACTTGCATCTGTTGTTAACGACAGACTGCAGGTTAAGTGTAATGTGATCTTATCACTCAAAGAAGCCTTCGTTGTCGTCTGTACTGACGACACCGAGGCTGAGAAGCTGCTCACCACTACTGCTATGTCCACTCTACAAGATTATGGATTCTCTGTTCTGAATTCCCCAGCACTGAGGGCCAGAAGAACTGTGTTCCTCAAAAGACTCGACAGACTCATCACTACACAGGCTACTGAAGAGATCAGGTTGTCCGTTGAAGCAAAGAATCCCTGGGCCAAGGTGGAATTTCTTACCAAGATACCCATCGCCTCCTCCATGCAGAAGGTCACCTTCAGTGACGTCAACATGGCAGCCAGAGCCCTCGCTGAGGGCCTGGCTATTCACTACTTCCATATCAATCCAGCCTTCATTGAAGCAGAAAAATACCAACAAATCCCACAGTGCTATAACTGTTACTCATACCAGCATATCACCAAAAACTGCCCTTCCAAAGACAAGAAGTACTGCTCCACCTGTGGCCTTGAGGGTCATGACTTTAAGAATTGCACTACTGCTTCCCCATTATGTACCTTTGTAATCTTTTGACTTCCGCCCACAGGATGGGTATGGGGTGCATAATAAAGATATTAAACTAAAGTGTGTGTGTGTGTGTGTGTGTGTGTGTGTGTGTGTGTGTGTGTGTGTGTGTGTGTGTGTGTGTGTGTGTGTGTGTGTGTGTGTGTGTGTGTGTGTGTGTGGTGTGTGTGACTCAACAATCAATATTTGCACCAATAACTCACTACAGTTGTGACCGGGTGTGGAAGTGTGAATTGCTCATTACTCTATAATTTGTTCATGATTGTAGCATGTATAAAACGTAAGTAACCATTCTACAGAATTCATTACCTTTGTAACTTGTGAGCTCATTACCTTTGTACCTAGTTCAGCTATCAAAACTTTGGGGGCCCAGTCCCTGGACCCATTACGTACCTCTGTAATCTGTAAATACCTTTGTAACTTGTCATGATTGTGACCAGACCTACCTGGAGTTCATTACCTTTGTAAATTGTGAGTTCATTACCTTTGTAAATTGTGAGTTCATTACCTCTGTAACTTGCTCAGCTATCAAAACTTTGGAGTCCAGTCCCTGGACCAATTATGTACCTCTGTAATCTTTTGACTACCGCCCACAGGATGGGTATGGGGTGCATAATAAACATATTAAACTAACTGCTTCCCCACCGAAATGCTTGAACTGCAAGGATGACCACCATACTCTTGCTGCCAGGTGCCCTATCAGAAGGGGCATACTCAAGAAACAACAACAACAAAAGAAGTCCAAACCACAAGCACCCACATATTCTGCTATTGCCAAGATTCAAGCAGACACTACCAAGATACTACAAGCCACACAAGCTGCTCCTACCACTTTCCTCCCA